TATAACAAGCCACCAACAGTCAGTGGTACGGAGTCTGTATGCATACAAATTTCATGTACAACATTGTTATATACATGTTGTGCAACAATGCATAATGAAGTTGTACATCAACTTCCCATGCAAACAAACTTCATACGTAATATTCTTTTCATCAAATGATACTGAAGATTGACCTTTCATCCAAACAGAACATCATCATAAAAAAACAAAAATAAAAATAAAATCCATTTGGGGCTTGGAATCTTCATAACAAAAAGAGATACAAAATGGAACTCCCATAATAATTCTTCATAATCCTAACCTCATGAATGAACAAATTGAATCAAAAAGCATAGCTTCTGCAGCCAGTGGGAGAGTCAGCAATCTTCAGTGTATCAGCAATAAGCTTCTGAGCCTTCCTGCTCTTGATCTCCACTCTCATGCTGTCAGTCTTGTCCATCTTGCTGTAAGGTTTCTGCGACTTCAATGGCTTCTTCAATTTCGATTTGAGATCGCCCACCAGCTTCTGCAGCTGCTTGCCAACAATCATGACCATCTTCTCAATCTAGCCATTAACAACTCATCAGATTATAAACAATAAGAAAACATAAACAGCAAACAAATAGAAAATAATGTTATGCAGAAGAGGAGAAGGCTACCTCAGCACAAGAGGGGAGAAGAAGACAATGAAGAGGAGCAAGAATATGCAGGGCAATATATGCATGTGTGGTTAGGGGTGTGAGTTTTGCTTGGAGATTGTTAATGGTTTGAAAATTGATTAGATATTTGGTTCAAATCGAGATTGGATCGAAATAAATGAGCCGAGCTATTAGCCGAAGCTTTGGATTGATTCTTTTTTAGTTGATTCCGAGTCATATATGGATCACGACTCGAACTAATTCGAGATTGGCTTGTAGTACTTTTTTTATTTATAAAAAATTAAATATATATAATGCTAAGTAAACCTGAATAAGATGAGTCACGAGCCAATTACGAACCGATTTTGAGCTGGAATAGATCGAAATAACTCAATTTGAGCCAGTCAGTATCAATTTTGAGCTGGCTCAACCCAAAATCGAATATAGCTAGCCACGAGCCAATTTCGAGCTACGCTAAATCTATCTAAGTCGATTTTAAGCAGACCCCAACTCGATTCAAATGATAGCCCCACCTGTTGCATGTTAACATCAGAAAGTAAATGGTGACAAGATATATTGGACGAAATGGCAATCTTATTTAATTAGAAGACAATAAGTAGTTGTCTGTCGCATCCCAAAATTAATTATAAAGCATGTGTGGTGGAAACTTATTTCACAGGCAAGATTTTGGCATGTTTGGATTTGCTGCTGAGATTATTAAATCACTGTGTCCACTTGACTGCCACAAATCATTTCGCATATGTGTGTTAGCTGAAGTTTAGTGGATTGATTGTTACAGTAAATCATGCATAAGCTCAATCTGGCTTTATAATTAGATATTAGTAGGTGATTATATAGAGATTTTTGATATAATTATGTGGGCCAAACACTAATCAGAAATTAATTTTGTCATTTCATTTGTGCATGATTGTGATGGAAGTTTTGTTCAGTATGAGATTTTCAGAGGTTTTTTGAGGTATTTTTACGGGTAACAGAGGCGAAATCAAGTTATATT